GGCTCTCATGTGTACCAGGTCCCACTTTAAGGTCCAGCCCAACAACTGGACATTATGTGCCTTTTGATGTAATATAATAGGATATTTACAAGAAAGAGTTTTGCCCCCTCCCCTGCTAAAAAATGAGCCTAAATCTAATCAATCCTCTGGATTTAATTGGTTTACGAGAAATATTGTCAGCAAAATAATATAGACAGGTACCAGGATGCAATCAGCCAAGTCCAAAATATGACAGTTCTATAGGACAATCTTATTTCTTGAATACATTAATTACAAGTTGAAAATCAAAATATATACATTAAGCAGGGCTGTCCAGGTTTGGACCGAGTCATGACAGTGAAGTGGAAGCAAAGGGAGTGAGCACCTGAGATAGAAACTGGTGAGGGCTGGGTGGGGAGAAAAGGATGTTTTAGGTCCTCAGTCTCCCTGACACCACAAGGAAACCTCTGAAGGGCTGGGCTGGAGAGGGAGCAGCCTCCATTCTGGATCCCAGCATTCTCAGTCACTGAGTCCTCTGCCCTATGTCCCCCCACCCCCGACTCTCTGATGTTCAGGAAGAATGGCAAATTCTACAGACCACTGAGTGTGTGCCCTGTTGCCAAATGCATTCGTTTGGCCAATCTTCTGGGGGAACAGCTACTGTGAGCAGAGCATGTGGCCAGGTACAGGGCAAGTTAAAACAGTACCAGATCAGGTGTGTCCTTCAAGGCTCACAGTCTGTCTGGACACACAGGACGTTCAGCAGAAGGTGAACAGGCAAAACAACCTGGGAAGTGTGGTAAAGGAGTACCAGGCTCAGGGCAGTCAGAGGCCTCCTGGGGAAGAAGGTGGGACTTAGCAACAAGAGTGAAGAGGAGGAAGATTGGAGGGAGGGGTTCTAAACTGAGGCCCTGCTTTCCAGAATATTCTGTGAGGAGGGAGCTCCACCCTGGGGGTGATGAGAAGCAAGATTAGAGAGTAGACCTGGTTCTCCAAACACTGGGTGGGGACAGCTACCCTGGGCGCCTCCCTCTTAATCCACAAGCCTCACTAAACACACATGGAAGAAAGACAGAGACATCCATACACATCTGAACAACAATAACAACAAAAAAACAGGCAAAGCTCTAAGCACCTGGTTCAGAAGATTTAGCAAAGGATGAAAAGGACACATGTCCTTCCTTCACCAAGACAGAACCCCCAGCTCCAGGACAGATGGGACACAGCACTGCCAAGCTATGACAAATTCAAGGAGAGGAAACTGCAACTTCAAAACAGCATCCCAGGGAAGGGTTATAGCTCAGTGGCAGAGTGTGCACTTAGCATGCGTGAGGTCCTGGGTTCAATTCCCAGTACCTCCAAATAAAAAAATTAAAGCTAACTATGACCCTACCCCAAACAAGAAGAAGAAAAAGAAAGAAAAAAGCCCCCACAGCAGTGATTGCAAGCCAAAGCAATTGCAGGAGCATCACCATGATGGGGGGGGCGGGGGGAGGAAGCAGATGGGAGGCCAGGGCTGAAGCCACTGCCCTCTCCTGATGTTTCAGGTCCTGTGCTTATTTTGGGTGGGAGGGTGGGACCCCAGCAGCAGCAGAAGCAAGAGAAGAGGGAATTCTGGGCTTGGGACTCCTCCCAGTCATACAATTTCTCACAGTCTGTACTCAACGCTTAAGAAAACGATCTCCCAAGGCAACTGATCTCCTTCACATCTGATTTCATCCATCTAATTAATTGGAAGAACCACTGCATGAGTTTATCGCCTTGTGTGTAATCTTGGGAGAACTGAGGAAACAGTCGCTGAAATCAGCTTCTGTGCTCCATGGTTCAGATGAGGAGCCCCAACTGACACAGAGATCCTGGGCCACATTAAGACAGTCAGCGAGGGCAGTCGTGGTCTTCTTGCCTGCCCAGTTCCCAGCCAGGCCAGAGCTCCCAGTAAATATTTATTGAATGAATGCATGTTCACTAGCTGTCCCTTTTCTGGTATTAATAAAATGGTTATCAGTCCAGGGTCATCAATAGATGCTAAAATTATGGGCTGAATGTTTTGGGGGAACAGGATATTTTCATAGAAACTGAATTTCAACCAACATTTTTATCTGTGCGATGCCATAGAAATAACTCACCTTTCATGGTCATCATCACGATCGTGACCATCATTTGCGAGTCTTTGTATCTTGCTGACATTCTGGAGACTTTGGCTTAGGAATAACTCACTCGACCTCCTTCTATCCTGGCTGTCGACAGCTTTTTCCTCTAAACACAAGCTGCTGTGAGGTTTCCCACCGTCAGCATTTTGGCAAATGTGACCAAGACATCCTTCATCTTTCCTTAGCTGGATGAACCTTGAGATGGTCTCTTTCCTGACCTCCCTTTTCTTGGAACACTTTATTTCAAAACCTTGTAAATAATTTTTTTCTCAACAGTCTTACAACTCTGGACTGTCTTTCTCAAAGTCCTGGGAGCCATCTCTTTGAAATGCAAGCGTCATGTGCCCCCATCTCCCAGTCTCTATAGGAAGCCAGGAACCCATATTAGTCAGCAGGGGCTGCCATAAAAAAGACCACAGACTGAATGGAGCCTGAAGATGTGACTGAATTGTTGCAATCCCGTGATCAAACTTTACTCATGAGGAGTTGTTTCTTATGGACAGGCAAGGAGAGTGGTTTCTTTTTCTTTCTTTTTTTTTTTTTATGGAAAGTTTATTATCTTGTAACTGTCATGGTCATGGATCTTACATAGAACTTTTTTTTTAGTTAAAAAAATTGTTTTTAACTTAAGTACCATCAGTTACAATGTGTCAATTTCTGGCATACAGTACAATGTCCCAACACTTATATAAATATACATATATTCATTTAAAGAGAGTGGTTTCTTGAGATGGAATTCCAACCTGGTGAAGGTGCTGGGAAGATTGTTGAAATAACAACAAATGATTTAGAGTATGACATAAACTTAGTTGAAAAAGCAGCAGCAGGGTTTGAGAGGACTGACTCCAACTTTGAAAGAAGTTACTACGGGTAAAAAGCTACCAAAGAGCATTGCCTGCTACCAAGAAATCGTTTGTGAAAGAAGCATCAACTGATGCAGCAAAATTCATTGTTGGTTTATTTTAAGCAATTGCTACAACCACACCAACCTACACAACTTCCACCTGATTAGTCAGCAGCCATGAACTTCGAGGCGAGACCCTCTACCAGCAAAAAGATTATGACTTGAAGGCACAGATGATAGACAGCATTTTTTAGCAATAAATTATTTTAAATTAAGGGATATACAGTTTATTTACAGATAACACTACTGTACACTGAACAGAATACAGAGTAGTGTCAACATAAATTTACAAGCACAGGGAAACCAAAACATTCATGTGATTCCCTTTGTTGGGATTTTATTGTCATGGTCTGCAACCCAGCCTGCACTATTTCTTTTTTTTTTCTTTTTTAAACATTTTTTATTGATTTATAATCATTTTACAATGTTGTGTCAAATTCCAGTGTTCAGCACAATTTTTCAGTCATACATGGACATATACACACTCATTGTCACATTTTTTTCCCTGTTAGTTACCATAATGTTTTGTGTAAATTTCCCTGTGCTATACAGTATAATCTTGTTTATCTATTCTACAATTTTGAATTCCCAGTCTATCCCTTCCCACACTCCGCCCCTCTGGCAACCACAAGTCTGTATTCTCTGCCAATGAGTATATTTCTGTCCTGTATTTACGCTTTGTTTTTGTTT